TGGCCTCTGCTGCTTTTCATTGGTTGGATCACCCACCAAGAGACGCCATTTGCTGCAAGATTTATTCAGAAGGCAAGAAACTTTGTTTTTTGTTTTAACAGAAAGCTCCTGAAGTTTCCTAAGGTATTAACCCTCTTCTTCCTCCTTACCTCTCGTCTTAATATCTTCCTTTCCCCCTCCTTCCCACAGTGATTCTTTAGCTTTGGGGCATGTTTTTATTTAAATCATGTTCCTCTGGCAGGGGAAAAGTGGGTGGAAAAGAACACTTGATCATGTGCTGGTGACAGCTGCTTTGGAAAAGCCTAATCATTCCTGGTGAGGAGTTTGTGGCCGTGGGCCATCCTTTCATAATAGCTGTGGTGGCATCAACTCTGGAGTCTGGCTTAGCTCACTGGGGGAGTGCACCCACAGTGCCCTCTAGCTTTGCCCGCAGCCATCGCCACAGGCCACGTTTGTCATGCTGCAGGATGGCCACTGTAGAGTGTGAGTGCATGGCAGGTGCCGTCCTGGTGCTGGTTGCTTGTCTGCTGCCTTCATGCTGTTAAACTCCTGGGTGATGCCCTCCCTGCACATCCTGGCTACGACCTGAATTCGGGTCAGAACAGGCTAATAATAGTGGTGAAAGAAGAGCTTGGAAATATCTCTGAGCAGAGTAAATCAACTAAAAAACTTAACTCCCTCCCACTTTCAGAACAATTTTATTTAAGTGAAGAAAAAGTTGAAGTGGAGTGGGGTTGAGCTAGCTTATTCCACTCGTTTTATTTTTCCACATCCCCTCTTTTCAGCCTCTGTTTAACAGCACTTAACTTTTTGTTTTGTTTTTGGGTTTTTTTGTTTTTGTTTTTTTTTTTGAGGAAGATTAGCCCTGAGCTAACTGCTGACAATCCGCCTCTTTTTTCTGAGGAAGACTGGCCCTGAGCTAACATTCGTGCCCATCTTCCTCTACTTTATATGTGGGATGCCTACCACAGCATAGCTTGCCAAGCGGTGCCATGTCCGCATCCGGGATCCAAGCCTGCGAACCCTGGGCCAGGGAAGCAGAACGTGCGTGCGCACTTAACCACTGCGCCACTGGGCCAGCCCCAATAGCACTTTACTTTTAAGAATATGCTTCAAAATTATTTGTAAAGAGAATTATAGTATATGAAATATAGTAGTACTATATATTAATAGCCTAGGGCAGAGTCTTGGAATCTGTTTTTCCACTTTCTTATATATATTTAATTTACATGATTCCAAACAGTCATGTGATTGTGATCAAAGGCCTGTCTGTGGGCCCTGGGTGGAATTAGGTTGTGGGGAGCATTTTGTTTTCTTCCAAGGAAATGGACTCTGGAGTAAGACATGAGTCTTAGAAGTCTATATTCAATATTACTCTAAATATACAATTCACTTCCTCTCATTTATACATATTAAGGCTTTAAGCATTATTAAATTTTCCCAGCAACTCTCTGAGGGTGCTTATAATTATTATGGTTTTACTGATTAGAAAACCAGATACAAAAAGGTAAAGTAACTTTTTTCAAGCTAACTAGGAATCCAGAGCCAGGATTGGAAACTATTATCTATTAACTATTTCATCATGTAATCTTAATCTCAACTGAAGGAATAATTTCTAACATTTTGGACTATATCATTTCATTCATTCTCATATATTTATGTTATGTTACATTAGTAAAAAATCATGCCATGTGAAATTTTATACCCTCCTCTTTCCTCACTTTGACGTTGTTTCAAAAAAAGTTTCTCATATTACTTAAAAACACTTGAGAAACAATTTTAGTGACTGCAGTGTTTTATTAGATGCATGTACCGCAGTTTACTCAACCATGTTCCCGATGTTGAGTATTCAGATTGGATCGAACTTTCCCTGTTACAGATAGTGCTACAGTCAGTAGCTTTGTTTCTAAATTGTGGTCTGCACAACAACTGTCCACACTTTTGCTTATGTCCTTAAGGATAGGTTTCTGCAGAACAGAATCAATGCGTCTGAGATTATGAATATTTGAGAGGCTTTCAATGTATTGACAAAGGCTTTCCTGAAAGATTGAACCAATTTCTATTTCCATAAGCAACAGTGCTTGGGAAGATCTCTTCACTTTAACACTGATCTTTGTCATTTCTTAAACTACTTAACTCGTTACTTTATTTTGGTAACCAGAAAATGGTATCTTGCTTTTATAACCTTAACTTCTTTCCTCCTTGGTGAAATAATCATTTTTTCATGTAACTATTAATCATTTGTTAAGAACCACTGTTTTAGCTCAAGAGAAGAGCGTGGAAGAAGACAACTGCACAATTCCAGTAGGATGGGTTTGTGGACAGGGTCTGTGTCATGTTGAGAGGTTGAGCGTTTTTTATTGTTTTTGTTTGCCTTGCCTTCAAAAGTCTATCTTGCTTGAATGTTACAATCTGGGGCAAGGCCAGCAGTGAATGCTAGGGGTTCTGCCGCTGTCGCTCTTGGTGCTGGTGATCGCTTCTGATGAGAGGCACATGGCACTAGAGCTGAGGACTTGAAAGCTTGTGCATAGCACTCAGAAGGTTCAGCTATAACGTGGGCCTCATTCCTTGAATGGCATCTTTATGAGGTGATGTTTTACTTGTTTGTTTGTTTTAATGAGAAATCAAAGTCTGCATTCTGTGAAACTCTAGTATTTTCTTACTCTCACTTTGCATTACACAAGGTCCAGTAGATGAAAATCCAGTGCTAGCCTGTCTTTCCTGATTAGCTGGCACCATTTTCTTGACTTGAGCTTTAGTTCTCGAGGTTTGTGTTCTAATGATGGAACATTTAGAAGCACAGAATGGTTCTAATTTTATTGAATTTTTCGTATCACAGCTGCTGTGCCTAAAGCCTAGAGTAAATTGTCTTTTATATGATACGGTCTAGTTGCATTAGAAATAGTCTCCCCACCCCTGCTCCCTCAGTGCTCAAAGCACTGAACTCCTCCACTTGGAAAGGGATTGGATGTTCTGAAGCATTGGTTATGTAATCGTGGATTGGCTTTCACCCATCCAGCTTACTTCTTCCTCTGATAGAGAATTCCAGGCTGGCAGCAGTATTTAGATCTCAGAAAAGCCTGTCACAAAAAGTACAACAGGCTAAAGCACCTCACAGCCTCTTCTGTGCACGAGCTGAGGTTTCAGAGACCTTTCTGTGTGTTAATTTGAATTAAGCAGTGACACCTGTTTTCCGTTCTGCTCTGAAATCTGCATGTAGCTGAACTGATCTCTTGAGTGCTTCTCACCCTTGGTCGTTGATATTGCTTAGCTATGCTACAGTCAGAGCAGCAGGGAGAAAATCCCCCATTTCCACAAGCTACTGGGTAACCCAATAATTGCTAGATTTTGTGAAACAGATAAGTACTATAAGAAGTTGGAAAGATGAGGGAAGACTTTCTAGAATCAGGTTGAGCCAAACTTTGAAAGATCAAGTGACATTACAGAGGTATGGCTATGAGAATATATGTACCTCAAGACTTACACTTACGATGTAGTATGTGCATTGCACTTTGCAATCTACAAAGGATTTTCTCTTTAATTCTCACAAGAATCCTGCAGAGATAGGTAGTGAGAGGTCTAATGCTTTGCACAGGGTCAAACAGCCAGCAAGTGGCAGAAAATCTGAGCTGCTGTCTGTTTTCTCTCCTATATTGCTTGTGATTCAGGCTTGAAGAGGAGCCCCATAGGGCCCAGCAGGAGAGTGGACTAAGAGAACCCTTCACCCTGAAGTTCACAGCAAAGCTGCAATACACAGGGGTCATTTAGGGACACCCCAGGATGTCTCCATTATCTTTAAAGTTTAAAATTAGGGTCTAATATTATTTAACATATTCAGGAATAACTTTTGGAAGGAAAGGAGTTAGAGAAAAAATTCTTTTAACTTCGTGAGATATCAGAATGGAAGAATCATAGCAAAACCAAAATAAATATATAGAGATAGACAGTTGTAGGTGACATAATTATTATATGTTGTGTATTAATATATACAGTAATCATTTCCAGAAGGAAAGGTATATCTAAAAAAGGTAATAAAGATATTGTGAAACACTTTATGAGATAGTACAGGAACTAGAAGAATTATGGCAAAACTAAAAGAAAAGCAAAGCTAGGAATGAGGATGAATGGAGCCAAATATTTCCTACATTTTTTTAAACCACTGCTTATTTTAGATTTCTGACTACAGACTTACGTAATATTTTTTTTTTACAAACTGGAATTAGGCCAATAGAAAAGGTGGTCTGATAGATCAGTTGGCACCTGCTCCCTGTCTGTGTCTAGGCTCAAACCAAAACAAGTCAATACTTGGACAAGACATCAGCAACAAGGGCTTGTAGGCAGGTAAAGGAAATAGTCCATTATTGCAGGGATTTCAAACCAGGCTTCATATTCTTTTACCCTGGCATTGCCAGTTCTATTAGTTTATTGGAAAATGATATCCTTGGAGTTGAGTTTATATGTTTACAAAAGAGGCATTGCTTATATGGGTTCTATCATTTCCAAGTTCACACTGCCTCTCAGGAAATGGGACGCCGGATGGAACTCCTCTGAAGAGGAAATTGAAAAGTTTGAATTCTGTTGATCTAACAGAGTCTTGTACAAGGTGATCTATTGCATGTGACCCTTCAGTGTCTGGCCTCTAAAGGCCATTAGTTGACTAATGCTGGGCATTGTTCTTGGCTTGAGAATATAATGGTTAGCAAGAAGACCGGCCAGGCTGCCGCCCTCCTGGAGCTTAGACTTTAGTGGGGGGAGATGGATGATGAACAAGTGAAAGTCAGTGAGCAAGGCAGTGCATGCTGTCAGTGTACCCTCGGGCTCCGGAAAGATGGGTTCATCTGCCTGAGTTCCGCAGATGCCCGACACGAATTTTGTGCTTTAATAAATGCACAAAGGCGACTAACTGTTGAAGTCCACTGTACTGCTGTTTAATTTTACTGCTAATGAATTTTCAAGCCTGCAAATCTCTGAGAATTTCTAAATAAGTTTTTCTCTCTTAGGTTGCAAAGAACACATCCTGGAAGATGTGAAACCTGGATCTATCAGTGACACCACTGATTTGGCCCTACCACCTGAAATGCCAATTTTGATTGATTTCCATGCTTTGAAAGACATCCTTGGGCCCCCGATGTATGAAATGGAGGTGATCATCCTAATTTCTTTGTTGATAGCTACCAGTTTATTGTGGTTGTTGCTTAATAGATTGGGAGAAAAGTAGAATTGGGTGTTTTGGGGGGCTGAATTTTGCCTTAAGATTGGGAGGTTTTTGTTTATGGTATTGAATTTTTGTGCTTACGGTGATAGTATGGCTTTTGCAGAGATCCAGAGGTCCTGGCCATATCCTCTTTTAGAAGCCCAGGCTGATCTTGTTCTCTGCCATCCGCGTCTCTGACTCTCCTCCTTAGAAATTCTATATTCCTATTTTTTGTGCTTTAATTAAGGATTTCTTTGTAGTATCAAAGGCTTTGGGGGAGGATGTGGGGAAACAGCCTAGTACAGAATGTCTGAAAACATGAGCCTCACGCCAGCTTCGGACTGCTCTGATGCAGACCCAGATGGCCTCTTTCAGGAATCTGTTGTTTCATTGTTAATAGTGTTTTGGGGGATTAAACCCACAAACAGGTCTAGCCCTATTTCCGTCTTTCTGCCTTAACCATCCCTCGCACCAGAACACACAGCCAAAGAAACCTGGGACCCAGGACTGAGTTGAGGCAACTGGTTGGAAATAGGTGTTTGAATCTCCAACTGCTGAGCATTGTGATATATTTTCTAGGATGCTTATATGAGCTTTTATAGGTCAGTTACTGGAAAAAAATTGTATTACACTACTAAACTTAGCAGCTTTCTTCAGAAGCTTTTACCAAGTTTAAGGGAAAAAGATTTTCAGAAGATAAATCTGACAAATTATGCAGAAGATAATCTGTACATCTAACATTTGAAATCAGTACCAGCAGATACGGTGTTCCTCAACTCTTAAAACTGAGGAGAGGGGAAATAGTCCCCACTCCCGTTTCGTTTATCTGTTGAAACTCTGAGCTGGTCGTCAGAGCTCAGGAGCCTCTGCAGAGCTCTCAGGTCCAGGGTGGAGGCTCTTTGCTCTTGACAGTGCATGTGTCTTGAACAAGAGATTCAGAGGCATTCGTTTGGTTACTCGAATTCTTAAAAATCATGGATTTAAATTTTGAAGTGTTGAAAGAAGTGGAACAAAACTTTTCTTGGTTGGGAAAGGTGAGGAGAGCCTGCCTTTCTGTTCTGAGGGAGTCCCGTGATTTGGTGAGTGATGCTGTAAACAGGTTCTGACTCCTGCATGGCTGATGGGCTTTTTTCTCTGGGCTTTCCAGAGCAGTACGTTCCGGCAGTTCTTTGGGAATTTAAACTAGAGCAGCAATACAAACAAAAGATGGATGCGTGTTTGTTCGCACGCCCTCCTCTCCCAGCATTGCTGCTGCTGCGGCGAGGTGTGCAGGCGTTGCTGGCGTTCTTGGAGCTTTGGCAGAGAGAGCCAGAAGAACAGAAGTGAGAAATTTCATAGAAACGGCCTAACAGCCCTGTTTGATGTCACTGGAGAAACTCTTTTATTTTCCTTGTAGTATCTGAGCTATCACCTGTGAACACTTTGACCATCATCAGTCTGAAAGGTATAAACAGCATCTTAGAATAGAAGATCTGGTGTCTGGGAGTTTGAAACATTTTGCTCATCTTTTCCACACTTGAGAGAATTCACCTGTAGCCTGGGATTTCTGTCTCTGGGCTTCAGCCCCAAATTACTTAACCACCCTATGCCTCAACTTTTGCCTCTGTGAAATTAAGATTTATGGAACATTTCTTTATTGTCATGAGGGCCGTCCCAATGCTAGGAGTCTTCCATTTTACACACAGCAAAAAAGCTTAAAGAGACTAAATGAATCATGCAAATTCATATAAGCTGCAATTAGTAAAGCCTGTATTCAGACTCAGATCAGCCAACTGCAAGTCCGGTGTTCTTTCCGCTCTGCCACAGTATCCTGTCAGACCAAGCTAACTCCTGACCTTTCCTGCTGAAGGAGAATGGCTCGAAGTACAGCAGGTTTTTTAAAACAAAAGGCATCTGCTGTACATCACATTTTCATTTCTGTTCTTACCAACTCTAGTGCTCTGTTTTTGGAATGGGAGAAGGTGGGCTGGGCTTCTGGCCCCTCCCCGTGTGTATCTATTACGTATCAGCCACTATGAAGACCTCTAACAAATGATACATCATTTGCTCCTCACTCGGGTCTTTCCAGTAACAGAAGAGGAAACAGGCTTAGAGTGTTTCAGTAACTTGCGAGAAGATGCACTGTGCCAGAATTGAGATTTGGTCCCAGGCCTGATGGGCTCCAGGGCTTGTGCTGTTTATTACATTAGAGAAATGGAGCACAGGCACACCTGAGCAGCTCCTCTGTTCTCTGCCAAGAGTCACAGTGGCCAGGCTTGTCTCTCTTCTTTGTACTCTCCCAGGTAAAGAATCTAGAGGGAGAGATGATACTAGGAATATTGAAATAGATGTTGACGTGTTCCCAAGACGTTGCAAGGTACCTTTTTGACTTAAACGCCTGTATTCTCCGTGAAGGTAAAAGTGTAAGGTCTGTCATTTCTTCTAGAAAGAGTTTCCTAGTATGTGCTGCTGGTAATACAATAGTAAACCAGAAAGGTGTGATCTTTGCCTCTATGGAGCTTACTTTATTAAAGGAAATAAACAAGTTAAGAAATAATTATAAATTGAGAGTGATGCTGTAAAGAAGACAAACAGGCTGGTACTGAGCTAGGGAGGAACTTCTCCCGCTATCCCTGAGATATATTCTAGAGGCAGACCTGCTAGCCTCGCTGGTGGGCCACACACGGCGACAAAGGAGACAGTAATCTAAGGGATTTCCAGGCTCTGGCCAGAGCAACAGGGTATCTGTGTGGCCATTTACTGAGAAGGGAAAGACTCGGGGTGGGGGGAGTAGTGCAAAGAAAAGGGAAAGCTCTGATTGGAACTGTCTGTGAGGCATCAGAGTGGAGACACTTGGGCACGCAGATCCATTGCTCAGAGGAGAGATCCAAAATGGAGATATAAGTTGCAGAGTTGTCAGAAAAGAGAGAATATTTAAAGTCCCAGAAATGTTGAGATTACCAAAGGAAAAAGTATATGTAGAAAAGAGCAGGTGGCTTAGGAGCAGGCCCTGAAGAATGCAACAGTTAGGGTCATGGACAGGAGGAAGAGCCCTCAAAGAGACTGAGAAGGAACAAGCAGTCAAGTAAGAGGAAACAAGGATAATATGCTGCCATGAAAACGGGAGGAAACTTTCTCGAAGGACGGAACATCCAGATGTGTTTGCTGTTTGTCCATTCGATTTGACAGTGTGGAGGTTGTCGGGGACCTTGAAAGAGTGGGTTCGCAAGGAGTGGTGTGGATGGTAGATTTGGGAGTGTGCTGAGGATAGAATGGGAGGGGAGGAAACAGAGTTTGTGTGTAGGCAACTCTTCTCAGAAGTTTGGCTGTGAATGAATGATTGCAGAGATTTAAATGAGGTGGCTAGAAGGGAGTATGGATGTCAGAGAGACAGTGTTTTCAAATAGAATCATGTTTGCTGATCTGAAGAATCCAGTGGAAAGAGTGGGACTAATGTTACTGGAGGAGGTGGGACAACAGCAACAAAGTCTGGGGAAGTGAGATGGGCTGGGATCCATAGTGTGAGTAGAGGAAATGTAATGAGGATACCCCTTTTCAAGGTATAATGAAGAACGGGGAAGAATATTGACTTATGTACAAGGAAAAGATTATAATGATGGAACAAAGATATGTTAGTTGCACAAAGAGAGAAGTGAAGCTAGGACAGAGCTGGTATGTAATGTGCAGGTGGTAGAGTTAATGGTCTTGAGTACAAGTGAGGATAAGAAAGTGATGGTCAGGGAGGGAGATGTTTAAAATTCAGATTTCAGAGGATATCTGCTTCCTCTTTGATGTGATGAGGACCTGTCAGTGAGTGAGTGAGTTAAGGTGAGGAAGCTGTTCTTGGAGTTAAGGAGGTGTTTAGAGAACAGAGGAGCCGGGTTGCAGATGAGCACCCGGTGTTTGCTGGACACCCAGCAGGATAGCAGGGGTCAGGTGGTCAGGGAGGAAAAGGGTGTTCTGAATGTAGAAGATAGTGAGGAGAGAATGAAGATGGAAAGCGGCTGCCACAAGCAGGGGCTTAGTAGAAGAGAGGAGGAGTAAGGTGTGAAAGCAGCAAGGAGGCCTCTTACTCACTAAGTGATAAACCTTAGTGATAAGCCTGCTTGAGTGTGATGTCTTCATCTGACACATGGGGCAATTATATGTATGTTTTTAGACAGTTTTTAGAATTTGGTGAGTTAATTTCTATAAAGCACCCACCATAGTGCCTGGTACATGCTAAAAAACTGAACAAACGTGAGTTCCTGCACCATACTCCTTTAAAAACAAACAGACCTATCCCCAGTCAGCCAAAAAAATCCCTGTTGTGTTTATAATCCTAATTTTACACCTTCATTTAATAATCCTTTACTGCCTCTTACTGTTCTTTACTTTCGTTGAAGATGAGTCTGCAAAAAAATATTAGTACCAAAAATGTTACTGACGTAGCAAACTAGCAGTGAGGAAGAAAGGTGAGAAGACACACTTTAATAAGTTGTACCCCTTTAGAATTCTCTAAACAGGTTAAAAAGTGAGTTCTAGGAACTTAGTCTAGATTTCAAATTTAGGAATAATATCATAAGTCACCTTTTCAAATAGAATAAAGTTTCCTAAAGAAACATGATCACTTAAACCCACTTTTAAAAAAATCTCTTCCTTCACTGCAAGAGGAAGAGCAGCAAAGACGGGAGGAGGTGCAAGTGTTGAGCGCAGAGACTTCATTCCCACGGCACATGCAGGCACAGCACAGACTCACTCAGAACACCAGCTGGGGGCCAGATCAGACGTGGAGGGATTGAGAAGGGTGCAGGATTCGAGTCACAGCTCTCTGATCTGATCGCTTATGAGACTGCCGTTAACAGTGGTAAACTCAGTTGCAGTTAACTTTTATTGATTACATGAACATCTTTGGGAGGGGAAATGAGAATCTTACAATTTTCACTTTCATCCTAGTGAAGCCAGGAGAAACCTCCACATTGTTAGATGCATATCCTATCTGGCAAAAAAAAAGCCAACAGAAAAGAGTTCCTGTTTATCTCTGAGGGTAACAGTCTTAAACTCATGATTGTAAATTTAGTGACACAGTCAGTCAGAACAAGTGAGCTCTGTTCTTTCCAGGATAGCTTTCATCCTCAGCCTCAGAAAACCAGTCATCCAAGCCACAAATATTTCTGTGTAGCCAGTAAATCCCAAGAGTGCGCATCTGCACATTCCTGCCTCCATTCGCATCTTGCATTAAAGCCTCAGTGCTGGCTTCTGACAGCGGTGTATGAAAAGTCCTTTTCCAAAGGCCACTGCCCTTAAAAACATAAAAAGCGAAGAAGAGGAAAAACATGGCAGAATTTAAGAAGTGTCCTGAATAGAACCATCCAAAGGTGAATCCCGGAGATTCTGTCAGTACGCTTGTCCTTCACACAGACAGAATCAGGTGCCAGAAATGGGCAGGGTGTAGACACTGACACAGTGCCCAAGAAAATCGTGGCAGTAAACTACCTCTCCATTCCACGCCATTTAAACATGCTGTGCCACATGCCGCTGTGTAAGACAGCACCAGTGCTGCACACTCAGTCTGGCCCAGTGGCCCCCCATGAGTTCCTTGTGCCAGGAAAAGTCCCCGGCAGAAGGCTCTGAAAGCAGCTGGCTCTCAACAGTGGAGGGTCAGCCAGCCTGGGGCTGGCTAGCACCGCTGTGAGAGATGGCTCCGGGAGACCCCGGCGCCTCTCCAAGGGAAGGGCAATCTGACCTTCCCTTTTCTGAACGCTACTGAAATAAATTTACAGCTAGAACAATCAAATATTCATGAATTCAGGCTTGGGATCTTAGTACAAAGACTGTAAAGAAGTTGACAGATGGATAGCTGCTGTGGTGACAACCCTGGCGGGAGCATAACAAGTCCTAGATGAGCTATAAAAGAAACCAATTGTGGTGTAAACATCACTGCAGAAGGAACCTGCACCCATCCCACAGCCATCTGACAGCTCAGGTTGCATTTGGCAGGGAACCGTGCTTGTCTCTGGAAACAAAGTAGCCACAATATAATTCGTATCTCCAGGCCTTGGCATTGGCTGGCCTCTCTGTTATGATGGTTTCCTGGCCTTTCTCTGCCCCACACACTCCTACCCACATTTTAAGACTACTTGGCGTGTCTGACACCTGTCCCAGCTCCCCAGACAGGGGGCCTGGCCTCTTTAGGGCTCTGTGTAGATGGAAGCGCTCGGTAGACACTGGTTGCGCTCCCCGTGCTGGAGTATAACGGCCCCTTTGTCTGATGTCCTTAAGTACTCCGTCAGTTCTCAGAGGCGTTCGCTTCTAGACCTCTCTGATCTGTAATGGAGCCTGGCTCAGGATGCTTGGTAAAGCGCTGTGAATAACTGTAAAACTCCTGACTCTGACGGCGCTGCAGGAGGAAATCCAAGTGGAAGCGTTGCCCTGGGCCTAGAAGGATTACAGAGTTGTACAGATTTACTGTTTCAATCAAATAGCACTATTTGTAGTTAATCAAGAGGGAAGAACAGTGTGAAATTGGCAGTGATTACTCAAATGCTGCTTAAATACTGCTATCATTGAAGTATTAACAATGCAACCATACTTTGTAAGACATATTCTATTATTAATTAGGGTTTTCATTAAATTTTTAAATACTTCTTCAGTTTGCATATTTACATGATTGATGGAATTACTACAGAAGAAACTGACCATTTCTTTGAACAAGATTGAGTTAACAGATGAGGAAGCTGAAGTGCAAGGATGTACCAGTGGGAAAGTGAACAACAAAACGAACTTGAGGTGCTCATGTGCCACTGACATCTAGTGGGAAACATTCTAAGCCCTGTCTTGGCTGATGTAACTGATGATTCCACAAACCAGTAAGGAATTACAAACTGATAGGAAAGTACTGCTAGATAAATATAGTTTTAAAATTCTTGTGTTGAATCACTTACAAGGAATGCTAGAAGATACAGACTGTTTTGTATAAAGGGGTTAAGATGGAAAACTGCATTCAAGAGCAAGAAAGGAGCACGTATGTTACCCTTTAAACTCACGTGTACTTGCACTCTCCTCATTTCTGAGGGAAAAATACACAGAAGCTGGGTGCTTGAGTGTTACAATTTCAGAACACATGTCCTCGAAGACTCTGACTTCAGGTCTGAGGATTAAAGATTCTTTACTTCTTAGATGACTGCTGTGAGCCTCGGGCACAGGGACTCTAGGTGCGATGGGGACTCACGCCCTTAAGGCCCCCCACCTATGTATGTTGCTGTTGCGTTACACAGATTTGTCCTTAGCCCCATCTTCTGGTTGATGTTAGAATTCTTAAACTGTCAGGTTAGAATAAAGTGGGTGTGAGCCTGGATGTTTTGGGTTTGGCTGTGCATCTGCTGCCCTCTCCTTTCATTGAACAGTGTTACTTCTACCCAGTGTACCAGGACTCTCCAGCATATGGAGAGTGTTGGAAGACTGGTTTGGTTTCTTGAAGCAACATGGTAATCAACAAGAATCTTACTCCTGATCCTTTGGGGACATTTTTGGTATTATTCTGACATGAGTTTTGAGGATTTAGCTGTAACAAAGGAATTGTTTTTGTTATAGTAAACAAAATTGTGCCAAATGGCTTTTTCTATTAAATTAACACATGATTCATTATATTGAAGATAATTCTTTAGGATGAGTTCACTCAGCCCTAGGAAAGAGCCATGTAGTAAAACAGGAACCCTTGGCAAATTTCTAGCCAAAGTAGGTGTTCATTACGGTGTAGAGAATTGGGTTTATATTAGAAAAAACAAGTGTTGTGAACACTTTTATAAATAATTGTTTCTGTTTTTTCCATAAATAGTACTGATCTTTTGCCTGTTGATCTTTTGTGTCTTTCTCCTCAAGTAAATATAGATCAGGGCACATACAAAAGCCAGGGGAAGTGAACTCCGCTGCCCGGCATCAGTCAGCTGACGCTGCAGCGCGGCCTTCAAGTCTCTCACTTATCGTATGAAGTTCATTAGAAGTAAATTTTTTAATTATAAAACCAACTTTAAAAATAGGCTTTTATTTTACTGCTAAAAATAAATGTCCAATAGCTTCAGTGAATGTCACACATGATTGTGGAGTAAGTTTTAAAGTCAGGATTGTCACCATCTAAGCCTCTTGAGAAAGGAATCAGCGTCAGCGACCAGCCCTGCAACCGGAGACTCAGAAACCCGCTGCTCCTCAAGGAGAAGTTCCTCTCGGGGGAGAGCATGCATTTGGTTAGTGCTGGCTTGACATACTGTGCTCAGTTCCTCTGACACACACAAATTCTATAGGATAAGAAATTTGGAAGCTCAAAGGGTGCAAAAAGTTACTAGGACTGTTTTTCAACTGTTACTTTTTATGTGTTTCCATAACATGGACGTGATGTGTTAACCTCTTTGGCGCATCACCTCGGCTCGTAATGTCAGGTGACTGATGCGTTCAGTTCAAAATGGCAGCGAGGCAGCATGCTGGGCCTCTGAGCACACGGGACAGGATCTAGGCCGTCACGAAGCAACATTGTATATGTCTATGCAGCAGTAACAGAGAAAGTAAGAAGTGGCAGAGAAGTAAAAGCAAAAGGTTTGAATCTACACTTTCACACGTGGCCTCTGCGGCTAACACATCTTAAATGTGTGTTAGAAAGAGGGTCTTTACTCTAAAACAAATTCATGATTACTTAAAATGAAGTCAGGTTTTGGAGTGTGTATAAATGTGCAGCCTAATAAAAATATTTAAGTAGATAAAACAATTGGGTTTGTTCCTTGAAAATTAGGGCATGTGTAACCTGATATGGCTGTTAAGAATCAAAGTTATTCACACGTATTTTAAGGTAAAATTGCTTCTGATAGATGCCACAGAGGAAGTTCAGCTTTCCTTCTGGCAGAAAGCCACATAGTATAGTAAGTGGTGGGTGTGACTCCAAATCATGTGGGTAAGAAGTCCTGTGACGTGTGGCTGGCACCGAGGCCCTCCGTGGAAGGAGCAGCCTCCTGCAGCGCATGGTGATTAGGTTAGCCAGCCTGAAAATACTTTGGCTCTTGCTGACGTAACCGATCATTCCTTCTTTCTCAGGTGTCTGAGCGTCTCAGTCAGCCAGGAGTGGCAATAGGTTTGGCTTGGACTCCCTTAGGTGGGGAAATCATGTTCGTGGAGGCAAGTCGAATGGATGGTGAAGGTCAGTTAACTCTGACTGGCCAGCTTGGGGACGTCATGAAGGAGTCTGCCCATCTCGCCATCAGCTGGCTCCGCAGCAATGCCAAGAAGTACCATCTAACTAATGGTGAGTGACCCAGCCATGGCTGGGATGCAGCTGTGAGCAAAGACGCGCCTTTGGATCACGATCCAGGAGGCATCTCACAGTCCTGTGACAAAGATTAAGAGGAGCTTTAAATTATTAGTTATACCTTCAGTAAAGTACAAACTTCGGATTTGGAACCCCTGTGAAAATTCTAGTTCCCATTTTTGGACTGTCTGGCTAATGCCTTAACAAGAAACTAATTCCAAGGGTCTGTCTTGTTTTTAATCATACTTGGAATAGACTGAAACTGTGCTTTCAGACCCTCACTCTAATTGTAGTACCCATTAACATTTTGAAGGATTCATTTACCCAAAACATTGATTTTTTATCCCTTTGATTTTCTTTTTTAGGAGAAAAAGCAGGCTTATTTTTTCTACATTAAAATCACTTTTTCCTTTTCAAAGCTTCTGGAAGTTTTGATCTTCTTGACAACACAGACATCCATCTGCACTTTCCAGCTGGAGCTGTCACAAAAGATGGACCATCTGCTGGAGTTACCATAGTAACCTGTCTCGCCTCCCTTTTCAGTGGGCGGCTGGTCCGTTCAGATGTAGCCATGACTGGAGAAATTACACTGAGAGGTCTTGTTCTTCCAGTAAGTGTGATGAAACCTATTTATATGATTTTTAAATTTTAATTAATATTTTTAATTTAAATTAATAGTGCTTTGCCTTCTTCCTATGAATACCTTATTTTAAACACATATAAATTATTATTTTGTGTGGGTGAGGAAGATTGGCTCTGAGCTAACATCCATTGTCACTCTTCCTCTTTTTGCTGGAGGAAGATTGTCACTGAGCTAACATCTGTGCCAGTCTTCCTCTATTTTGTATGTGGGATGCTGCCACAGCATGGCTTCATAAGCAGTGCTTAGGTCCACGTCCAGGATCCAGACCCTCAAATCCCAGGCTGCCGAAGCAAAGCTTAACCACTACATCCCCGGGCCAGCCCTCCATATTAAATTTTTATACCTGTAACTAATTCATATTTTTAAATTTTGATAAAAGAAAAACTGACGATTTTTCCCATGTTTTCCTTTCTACTTAGGAAGACATGCTGGGGGAAAAAAATCAGTCTGATCATGAGAAATATCAGCTGTTCAGGTGAAGATTTGAGGCTTTGTTGTAGTTAGCAAACTGTGTTAGTAGCTCTTTTTAAACTTTAAGCCCAATTCTTACCTTTTTAAGTTCCTGTGGGACCTTGTATCCTCCTATCAGATAGATTTATGGACAAATAAGTAGTGTCAAATGGAAACTGTAACAAAGACTAACCACGTCTAATTGCTAAATTTTGAAAAAGTCTGTCCATATGGGGCTTTGGGGCTCCAGTCCATATCCTAAACTACTGATAAAACACTGAGAAAATGTATGGAACTTGAGGGATCATTTAGGGCTTTAAGTGATTAGTTACCAGTGCCAGTCCATGACAAAATTTTGGCAGGTTCATAACAAAATGAGGGGGAAAAAAGGAATGTTCTTTATTCTGAGAAGGCCTTTGTTTTATGAGGTAATGGTGAAAGTAGATTGTAGAAGCACCAATTGAGATCACTGAAAATGCTCTCAGTTCCCCAGTTTTTTTAATTTCATTAAACCAGAAAGTCATATTCCAAACCCTATTTATTATATTTGTAGATCTCTACTTAAAAGGAATGGCTGATCTCTTTTCTTCCCCTTACACGGAGGCACTGCATTTCAGGTGGCAGTAGCAATTAACACAAGGTGCTGCTGAAGGGAAACGAGCAAGGGCTTTACTGACCATAAACTCTTCAGTCTCCTGGTTAAAGATAGGAGACTAAGCAAGGAATAATGAGAACACATTCTAACGCTCGAAAATGAGTGGGGAGTCATCAGCTGATAGGTCAGCCAACTTCTGGAAGATGGAAGTGTCCTGCTGATCACAGAGAGTTAGAGGTACAGAGAGCCTTCCCAGCGTGAGTCCGGGAAAAGCACCGGCTCCAAGCCAGAAGGCAGAGACCAGGAGAGCAGGAAGGAGATGGGAACCAAAAGCTAGAGGGGATTCATTGAATCTCCACAGAACACATGGCTCCTCCACTTTGGGTGCCTGCTTGCAGGGCAGATGAGCACCCACGGAAAGGCTGCCCACCCCCGGGGAAGCCACGGCAGCTCTGAGGAAGCCTTCAGTTTGAAACGCTTCCACGAGACGTGAAGAAAAGCGGCGGCATTTAAGAGAAAGGCTAAGGCTAGAGAAAACGTAATTCATGAACAGAGGATAAGACAGAGCTCTTGGATTTAGAACTGAGAAAACAGAGTAGAACAAATTGTCAAAGAAATAATGGAATATTTCCTAGAATTTAAGGTTATCTTCAGAATGAAAAGAAGATTTCATCCTCTTAACTTTTCAGATCACCAAGGAAAAAATCTTTCTCATCAGTGACACCAAATGTGCAGTACCTTCAAAAGTCTAAGGGAAAAATGATTTTATATCTAGTCTTATAACAGCCTTACTATCAAGTGTGAAAGCAAAGTAAACAGATTCCTTGAATGTATGAAAATGCCTGTCTTACACCTTCTGAAGAAGGTACTTTGAAAGTGCACTTGAGCAGCATCAAGAAGAACCCTTGAGTGGACGGCAGTGGGGCAGGATGTAGCCGTGCAGGAGGGCCTCGCCAGCTGCCAGTCTGACGCAGCACATGGTCAGACGGCTGTCTCCAAGCCTTGCAGGTTCTAGATGGCATGATTGAGAACTGTATTTATTGCTGTATAACTCACCCCCAAAACAATACTGATTCTTATAGTTTCTGTGGGTCAGGAATTCAGGAGGCTTAGCTGGGCTCTTCTGGCTCAGGGTCTCTTGTCGCCCAGCCAAGACACGGGCCAGGTCAGTCATCGCCCGGTTACCTGGGCCTGGGGGATCCTCTTCCCACGTGGCTGGCAGATTGCTTCTGGTCGGCAGGAGGCCCCATTCCTCACCTGAGCACTTCTCCTTAGGCTGCTTGGGTCACCCAAGCATGGCGGCTGGCTACCTCCAGGGCAAGAGATCCAAGAAAGACAGATCCAGGCAGAAGCTCTCCTTTTTTATCACTTAATCTCGGAAGTGATATAACATCACTTCCACCACACTTTCTTATGAGTCACTAAGCCCAGCCCCGTTCAAGGGGAAGGGAATTAGACTCTGCCTTTTGAAGGGAGACCATTGCAGGCGTATTTTAAAACCACCACGAGAGCTTAGATTATTTTGGGGTGTGTTTTCTTCATCAAGTGGCACAGAAGTCATGGCTTTAACCCTGTACAGAAGAAATAATCGTGACACACAACTATGCTCTGTCAGAATGGTATTTGTCAAAATAACGTAATGCTTTATCAGAATCAAACTATACATAAGATGGCTGTGATTACAGAGTGGGATAAAAGTGTTAACCTTGACAGTGTAAAAAGGAATGAATCATGGACAGAAGTGCTCACACCCATCAAAAATTGAGTTTTCCCCCATTAAAAGGATTTAATGTAACATTAATTGAAATGTAAAGAATTTACTATTTATTAGCCTTTTTAGTGGCTCTCCTAGCTCATGCTGTAGCAAAATGGAAGATGATTTGAATGTGTTAAAATAGCAGTGAAAGAAAGGTGGTCAGGGTTTCTTTCAGAGCCTGAGGAGGATCATCACCCTTAGTGACGTCCCTCTCTCCTGACAGGTGGGCGGAATCAAAGACAAGGTGCTGGCAGCGCACAGAGCAGGACTGAAGCGGGTCATCCTTCCTCAGAGGAACGAAAAAGACCTGGAAGAAATCCCAGGCAACGTGCGACAGGATTTAAGTTTTGTCACAGCAAGCTGCCTGGATGAAGTTCTTAATGCAGCTTTTGATGGTGGCTTTACTGTCAAGGCCAGACCTGGTCTCTTAAATAGCAAACTGTAGGTCCAAATCTCAACTTTGCTGAATTTTAAATTAGGAAGTGCCAAAAGGTACTGACAGGGTTGATTTTATTCATACTGGGAAGGGTAAGCAAATTGTCCCTAATTTGGGAATATAATCACAACAGTAACAAACCTGAGTCATTACAGAAATGTTAATTCAATAAACTGATAGAAATTGAGTTCTTGTCCAAGTGGGATCATCACTGTCCCTGGAAAGGTATATAGCAGTGGCTCTCATTGTGGTCCCCAGAAGCAGCTGTGTTACCTGAGAACTTGCTAGAAACATAAATCTCAAGACCTGACAGCAGACTTTCTGAATCAAACTTTGTGGATGGGGCCCAGAAATCTGCTTTAATAAGCCCTTCAGGTGATTCTGATGCGTAGTCAAGGTCAAGAACCATTGGTATAGACCTTATCTTAGCAGCTGCACCTGCAGACTTTACTGGATCCTGAAAACAATCATTAGACGGGGAACTGGGCAAAGATGAAATAGTTAACGATTAGTCTTTGTGGAAAATAAAGTATTCGAGTGAACTCGATGATGAGGTCTCCACATCCCAATACTTATGCTGAGGGAAGGTAGCACTCAGAACAGCATTTATATTGGGCAGAATGGCATGTGTTAGCACACATCACAGAAACAGACTGGCTGTGAATGCCTGTCATCTTAGAAAAAAAGTCCAGCCCCCAGAGGGAGGCAGCCATCCATCCTGGGATGATCCCACACTTGATATACTGACTCCTGCCACCTTCCCTTCTATTCTTTGTTGCCTGTGCCAGTTCCCAGATCTGGTAAACTTTTCCGTGCCTGTCTTCTCCTGTGACTCAATCCACGGTCTGGATAACTAGGATGTAAGGCTTTTCTTTCCTTACCTGTAAAATGCAAATAACAGTACCTAAGTCAGTGTTACTGTGAAGAAGTTAGATTGCAGTGTAAAATAACATTGAGCAATTTCTAATTATCATTCCAGCCAGTAATGGACTTCAGAATCTTCTATTACAAAATGTAACAACAAATATATAAAAATACTTTGGAAATTCTTGGATGAGAATTGGGTCTGTGAGTTAGCCACATACTGTGCTCAGACCTGCTAGTAAAATCTGAAAGTGTTTGGGAAGACAAGTCCAGATCCGGGGCTTATGGCTGGTGGGAGCGTGCACACACCAGGAATTACGAGAACATTTCACTGACCATCTTACCACTATTGTAATTTTGTCATTTTTGTTCAGTCATCTTACATGGAAAGAAAAGAAAGAAACTATGATGTTATTTCGTTTAAAGCAACCAGAGGGAGCTAATCCACATCCAAGCTGCTCTGCCTTGTGCCATCTAGCAGTGGCAACAGGCATGCTTTAAAAAGTGGGAAGTTATCTGTATTCTTCAGGAGTCCTGAACATGCACTTTGTACTTGTCTGTCAGCAGCAGCAGGGCATCTCCTGTGCCCTCTGGCTTTATTAAGCATGCCTTTCCTTTCCAGAGGAGCTGAGAAAACCCTGATGTGTATGACATTTAACAGTATGACCTTTCTCTAGCATGGTTTTTGGTTTTTTAATTCTAAGCTTTTATTCACTTGTTTTTTACTGGCATGGCAAAATAAATTTTATCATTACTTACATGCACAGTGCTGTGCGACCATCACCACCATCTATATCCAAAACTTCCTCATCTTAAACAAACTCTGTGCCCATTCAACAGTAAGTCCCCGTTCCTCTATTCCCCCACACCCCGGTAACCACCATTTTACTTTGTTTCTATGAATTTGCTTATTCTGAGTACCTTGTGTAAGTAGACTCATGTAATATTTGTCCTTTTGTGTCTGGCCTATTTCACTTAGCACGTTGTCAGGGTTCATCCATGTTGTAGCATGTATCAGTTTCATTTCTTTCTGACTAATATTCCACTGTGTGCACAGGTCACATGTTATCCGTTCATCTGTTGATGGACATTTGGGTTGTTCCCACCTCTTGGCTCTTGTGAATCGTCCTGCCATGAACATGGCTGTACAGCTCTCTCTCTGCAAGTCCCAAGCTCTAGTTCTTCTGGGTGTAGACCCAGAGTGGAACTGCCAGATCACATACATGATTCTACGCTTAACTTTTTGAGGAAGCACCAAACTCTTTTCCACCGTGGCTGCACCATTAGACATTCCCAGCAATATACAAAGGTTTCAATTTCTCCACATCCTTGCCAGCACTTTTCCTTTTTTCATAGCCATCCTAATGGGTGCGAAGTAGCACTGCCTGGTTTTGATTTACATTTCCCTACTAGTGATGTGGACTTTTTGTAGCACTCTTTTTAGTGTTACCCAGAGATCCCTTCTATCGCAATCAGCTGGGTTTTTTAATTGAAAATGCTGATGAACTCAGAAATTCCAATTCGGTACACCTGCAAGTCAGTCTTCGGATCTGTGTATTTAACCAGTACTCCATGTGCTTTTTATGTGCAGGCTTTTTAACGCTCTTCCAGTATTAAAACTAAAAACTTTCAGTGCCTTGGTAATCAAGAAATCTATACTGTCTGCTGGAGGCACACATTTGCCACGTGTCCCTTCTGTTTGAACCTTACTGCAAACCATGACAGAGGCAGAGTTCTTTAGTGTTTTTGACTACCTATTTGCAAATAGAGTGAAAAACACCATGTAAGTGGTTGATCCTAAAATATTTAATATCAGTCTATAAATTTATGACCATAGTTAAGGTCTCCTGATCATGAGAGTGGTATTTAAAGGATACTAAACGTACCTGAATTTTTTTTTAAATAAGAGGCAGCAATAAGTGTATGTCCTAAGTGAAACACAAAGATTTCCTTCTTTCCTTTTCTTCCCTTGACATCAGTCAAGATTTGCATTCTGTCCTAGCACAGATTCTCTTCCTAAGAGTGGGGATGCAAATGGGTGCCACCTCTGATTGGTAGAGGCTGCCTGCCATCCAGAAGATGCTGCTTCTCCTCTTCTGGAGGTGGCGACTAGTGATGTCCACCACCAGGAACTCCTGTAATAGGTGACGGGTCCACATTTAAGCCTTACCAAAGTCAGCCATGACGTGAGGTAATCAACTGCTGAGGGGAGAGTGGGCTGACTTCGTGTTTTCCTATTTTAGGAACCACTGAAATGATAAACCTTCCACAATGTTAAGTTTGTCACTTCTCTTTCCAGATCTAAAGTTTATTTCAGCTGGGATTATTAGATGTAAACATCAAGTTTGTTGTTTTTTTTTTTTGATTAAGTAACATGTTCAAGCTCACATTATTTTGGCAAAAATGAATTGTGTTTGAGCACCCAGCCTCATGAAAATTTTATCCAGCAGCTTAAAAAAAAATCCAGACTATAGAAGTATAGTCATTATCCAGTTTCATGGTTTATGAGCCGGTGCTATGCTCTTTTGTTTCACTAACATTTAGTGGATGCTACAGTGAAAATCGCACTAACTAAAAAATTAAAAGAAAAACGCTACAACAGAAAGGAAATGGTAAAAGGATCTGAATAGACACATAGGTAATCCTGTGAGTGACCACTGAAATGTTCTAAAACAGCTTTATCAAAAGTTTTTGTTTTTTTTAATTCTAGGAAAAGCTGTATTTGCTATGAAAATTCACTTATTTAGAACATATTACGTATGGTTTGTACTTACCAGTGATGTAAAGAATGTGTTTAACAGTTTTGGACCTAAGAGAAAATCTTTCCTATTAAAAAGTTTTAAGTAAGTTCAGCTCTAACTTACTGTCAGTACATTTCTAGGCAATAGGAACTGAAACCCTTTAGCCTAACCCTAATCTTAACAGGACAGCGCAAGCTTGTCAAATGTGACTTTATAAAACCACGTATTCCTCCATACCATTGTTTATGCTTTTCAGAATTCAGAAAGGCCTAATTATATCTGTAATAATAAGATTTATTTATCAGAGAAAATTCTTAAAGCTGTGTAAGATTAGGGAAAATGTCTGATTCAGCAAGGCACTGGGAATATGGTGCCAGGCATAAAGAGGAGCACATTATAGCACACTTAGCCATCTTCATTCCTGTATGAGGTATACACCATTACAACTTTTTACAGAGGAGGAACCAGGCAGAGCAAAATTAAATAAATAAAAGTTGGTAGGTAGAGGGTCAGGATTCAAACTCGGGCAGTTAGAACCTGCAGCCCACACTGTTCACCAAATATTAGTAGGTGCTTGATAGTATTAAACTAATTTTTGGGATGATGCTGTTTTTAGATAAATGTAAATGATCAAACCAGCTTCAGATGATAAGAGTAAACCAGCAAATAATCCTTTATGTTTGGAACATGCAGAGTGGGTAGGTGGGGAGGGCAATGACCAAGATTCTACCAGTACATTCACTCTATACGTTTCCATAATCCTCTGTCTCTATCTGTACCTTTCTTGTAAAACCTACATAAATGACTATGGTACTAGTTGGTAGGTCATACACTGAATTCACCCTATTATGTTCTGTTCTTACTCAAATTCTAATACAGCAGACTGACCCCCAGATATGTTTAGTTTGATGCAGTGTTTTTTTAATTTGGGTTACTTACCAATTCTTCCTCTCAGGAAACTGAATGAAATAAAATTCCACCCTTAGTAGAATCATTGCAGATGTCCCTGGATATAAAGAGCTCTTGAGCTCTGGTGGCGGAGGGGGGCCACTAAGATTTATGGTAACCCAAAATAATCGAGAGCCACTGACATTAATTTTAAAGTTTACAGACATCTGAGCCTTAAAAAAAAGGTCACACATGTAATAAAAATCACTCAGAGCAAAAGAAAAAATTGTTCTCCAAAGATCATTAACACATTAAACTGGCCCATGATTCAATTTAACAGGATAAATTCAAGTTTAAGAATACAAAAGCAAAAGAACAAAGTTCAAGAGTGTCACCGACCCTCCACCCCATACAGTCCCAAGAGAAAACACCAAGACACCCAAAGAAGGAGCAGGCGCATGATTTGGAGAAAGTAGATTATTGATTATAATAGAGATGATTTAAGAACCAGAGACCTCATAAATCCAATCAAACAGACCCAGAAACATGGCTGTAGGTCTCATTATCCCTGTATACCAAGAATAATGGAGATGACTTCAAAAAAATATAGTTACATATCACAAGGTCAACCTTACTAGCTGTCCAACACACAGAATTTACTCAATTTGCATCAATTAGCAAAACATGAGGTTACAATGAAATGGGAAATCCTCACTGCTACCATCCACTGAAGCCTCTCCAGAAAACCATAATGCCAGTATCAAGACCTTAGAAAATAAAAAAGAATCTCAAGAATAGAATCAGAAAACACACAGAAATAGCCAAAAAGATTTACCTGGACAAATTGGACAAAGCAGATACCCAATATCAGGAGACTGGCTAGAATTATAGTCATGCCTCACAAAAGTTATCCAAAATGGTGCTTTTCTAAGACTGCTTATGTGGTGAAATGCTTAGATGATCATGCTGTGTGTGGAAGTGTGAGGCAGTTACATAATTACATGATCAAAATTACATGATTTCAAAATGTGTGTAAGCACATGTAAATATAAAGGACTAGAAAAGAAAAATGTTTGCAGTCATCTCTGATGGGCTAACATTATCATCTCTTGTGTGCCATTTTCTAACTTCCACAGTTTATCTACTGAGCACATAATACTTTTATAATCAAAAAAACACTTTTAAAAAAAGTATTTTTAAAACGCAAAATAATATACCTCCACAAAAATATTCAAACTATTAAATGAGGGAGGAAAACTGCTTTTCTAAACGCACGTTAAGAGGAACAGACCTGGATATACATTTGTGGTTGACCTATTCTCTTTCGCCACAAAGACTGCCACACAAGCACTTGTTTCAACCAATTCAAAAAATAACGCTTATGTAGAGAAAAGACTACACAGTCTTCTTTCCTGAAAATGGTTAATAGGAGTAAATTCTGTTATCCAGAATTGGTGATGATCGGATAAGGGGAAAGTTCAAATTAATTTTAACTGACTTTCTACGTTTTTAGGGTACCCATAAAATAAAATGATGTTGGGCCATTCAGAAGGCAATTTCAGAATCTTGCCAGGTTCCTCAGAATAACTAGCAAGCAGTTAACCACACGGTGCTAAAGGCATAATAGCAGCAGCCAACATCTGTTAGGTGCCTGTTATGTGCAAACACCGTTCTAGGGTAACTTACTTGTACCCCATTTAACCCTTTGAGGCAGCTACCATAATTAACCCTATTTCACATGCTAGGAAACTAGGACCCAGGGTCTCACAGCTCATAAGTGGGTTGGAGCTAGGAGTGCCATGGAGGTCCCTTGGAAGTCTGGCTACAGAGCCCAAGCTCATAACCACTAGGGTATAAAATATTAACTCATTTTTATTTTTTTAAGAGGGAAAAAAGTGATCAGTATTTTAACTAATGAGTCTCCCAACAGAGTTGTGAGAATCAAAATGATAAGGGAGGAAAAAACAAGACTCTAATCCAAACAGAGGCCATATAACCCATTCTTTTGCTGTAGAATAAAACTCATCTAGCACACTTCAAATACAGCACACAATGCTTTTGGCTAGAAGGTACAGAACTGAGTAGGCGAGCAACTTTGGATTTTAATCAAACTTAGAGCTAAAGCAGACACATAAGAGTTTTTAATTTGCCAGATCTTCTTTTAATGAGAATTATAAAAGACCAAAAACATTTTTTTGCAAACTGCCTTTTTTTAAACAAATGATTTGCTTTTAATTACAAATACTGTGTAAGATGATGCCTTCTTTTGCAAAACCAATAAATACAAGAGCAAATTTTAAACATGTGATTTGTCCACTATATTTGGGGAGGGGGGGAAAGGCTGATTTTTTTTTTTCCCCAGTATTTAAAAAAAATCAGTACTCCCTAACCTTTCAAAGAATGAGTTTGAAGGGATGACTCAACAGGAGGGAAAAAGAGAGCTCATCATATAGCTGCTTTAAATAGCTTTTGATAATTCTTCTGATGTTACCTTTCCTTTCTTGGAACTCATATCTTCACAAAATAGCTGAATTTAAAATATTTCTAATGAACTGATTAATGGGGGAAAGAAAATATGTATTGAACACATATGTATAAACTTTACCATAAACAATTATACATATCAAAAAGACACTAACTTTAAAAAGGTACCAAAAAAAAGGTGAGGAAGAACCTGAATTACAGAAAAGAAAGTCAAATTTATTTAATGAAAAACTAGAATTAATAAAAATTAGCAAATACACACAAAAAAATATACACACACAGCAGCACTATGTATTGACTCACGTAAGGGGAAAGCAGTGGTCCAAGACCACTCAACATGGCTTGTCAGTTAAAGGAAAAAAAAACCAAACACGCACACACACAAACGCGCACACATACAAAGGCTCACGCACGCAAAAACAAAACAAAAACCCCAATATTTTTCAACAGTACACTCAACCTACAACAAACACAAATTCAGAATTATTTTACAATGCTTCCTTTCTTAATACAAAAGATTCCCATCTTGGGTGTATATATATATATATTTCAGTGGTTTACTGTTGACTTATTTTTAAATATATTAGTGTTATTACATGCAACTGTTTCCTGTACTTAACAGCCTTTCCTTTTATTTACCTTCACGTGTCTAGCCTCCACCTACCGAAAGTTTCAGGTTAGCAGGCAGATGGGTGCCTTATTCTCTGTGAAATTAAATGCAATAGTTTTAAACACTGGCCAGAAAATGTTTGATTGCCATTTCAACACATGGAAATAGTTACATTGATGCCTAAATTGCCATTTTCTGCAAAAAGTTGTGCAATGCTGGTGTCAAAGACTAGGCAGTCACTATTCATAATGGCTGTTGCAATTCCCTCATGAATAGATCGAGGAGTCGCTTCCCAAGTCAATCGCCGCCTATGACCATTTAACTCAAGTCGATAAGCAAAATTTTCAGCTTGTTTGCGTGTTCCTATCAGCTGTACAATTGCAAAGAACTGCTGGTGACCATCGTATTTTTCCTGTTTCTCCAAGACTAACATAAAGTGAAAGCCAAAACAGGACTGCATCATCACCCAGTCAACAGCACCAGGAAGATTAATGTCTGTAGCAAGGAACACTATATCCTCGCCCTGCAGGGTCGTAATGGATTTATGCTGATGCATCAGATGGGGCATCACAGCATCCAAAGAGCCTTGCCATTTACAGGAAGCACCAGGGCACGGGCAGGAATAAGGCCTAAACTCACAGAGCTCTTCGTGGTCTGCTTTTTCTGTGTGTGGCAGAGTTATTTCACATCCAGAAGAGGCATATTTACAAGGGAAAAGTACTGAATTGGCCACTTTCTCCATAGCCAAGTTGCGAATGGATCCCAATGGGCCCCGGCAAGTCGGACAACATGTGAGCTTTGGGCGACAGTTGCTACAAACAAGATGGCCACTCTGACATTGAAGAATGGGTGGTAACACATAGTCAAAGCAGACCGGACACTCAAAAAGACTCGCCAAGTCATTGTTGGACGCAGTTGTGCCAGTCAGGGCAGGCACCCTCTGGGACGGTGTACACTTTGAGGTTCCAGTAGGTAATGCTGTTGCAGTCTGACGGCTCATTTCTGTAATAAAAAACATAAATAAAAATAAAAGGAGGCAGGAGAAAAATAATTACAACTATAACTTATTCTATAAATAATGTTTACATGCTAGAAATACTTAAGCACTGTGCAAAATTTACTGTGAGCAAAAGAATAAAGGAAAACAGGGTTAAAAAAACATAAATGACATGAAATATACCTTTTAATTATTAGGAGTTGTACACTGGATAAAATCTCTTTTCAAAATATTCCAGAACACATTTACAATCCACTTTCTTTAAAAAATGTTAGAAATTGTCCCTGGATGGACTACATGGAATAAATGCTGAAAGAGAAATTGGACTATAAACAACTAAGAAACTCTGTACAAGTAGCTGAAGTTCAATCAAATCTATTTTGATTGGACTTTCTCCGCTATCTCTGTGTTCAATTCCCCTAACTGAGTCTATTCCTTTCTCATTCTGTGTCAGCTGCTGAAAGCTACAGGGAATTATAAGTGATCCAAAGGATCACCAGGGTGTTGACTTTGATGAATTCCTCCTAATAGTGAACAGTTGTCTGCTCTAGAGGCATATTTGGGCAATGGAGAGTGTCACAAGGGGAAGGGCCTGCTGCCATCCCCTCATCCATCTTCATCCTCTAGAACGTTAACATCAGCTAGGTATTCATCTTGTTTCCTACTGATCAGTGCCTCCCTCAAAAGAGGGATAGAGGAGAAATGCAGGGCCATCCTCAAATAAAAGGTTTTAGTCTGGTATTTACAGAAAGTAAATCATTCTATTCTACTTCCATAATAAAAATCAGAAATAATTTGCAAAGGAGAAGGAGAGTCAGGAAAAGAAGGTAAGTAAAGATAAAAGCACCAGAGAGAGACACACAACATTGGGGCTTGGGGATTAGAGTCAACTGGTAAAGAATTCCTTATACCCTCGAGTTCACCAGTGTTGCTGGAGCATTTATCAGCACAGTAATAAACAGTGTTTAAGAGAGAGAGAGGTCATCTGGAAGAAATGATCCACAATGTGACTGACTAACTTGTCAGACTGAATGAAAGATGAAAGAAGCACTTTTTCCCAAGAATCTGCCTTTGCTGGGATGTGGCAGGCCACTATTTGTCTTGGGCACGACAAAAGAGCAGTCGACGTGCTAAGAATGCACTCCCAGTGACTTTATAAGCGACAGTTCTACAAAATTAAAACTGAATGCCTCAAATTTAATGTTTGCTCAATTATAATTATTTTGTTGCAAAGAATTTAACTTTCAAAAAAACAATGCTGGGTACCAATGTGACCATGTAAATGCAATTTGGGTTCTAGATTACTCAAGGATAGACAACCTTAGATGGGGGTTGAGGATGCAAAGAGAAAAAAAAGGTTAATTCCACTGTCTCTAAAGTTCAAAGGGAAACAAAAGTACAGCAGAATTCCATCACAATGTGGCTCATCACGTGCACCACATGAATCGGTTTCCACCATCTGGAGCCCTGTATATAGCAGGTGTCCTAGCCCAACAAAGGGACTATAAAGGTACTCTCTTGTAATCCAGTTCCCGCTGAGGAGATGCTATGTGCATATGAAGATCCATCATTTTAGGTCACTTGTGAAAGAGTGGGCTCAGCATTGCCCAAATGCCCTATATGTATGCTGTATGCCTAGTTCATGATCCATGTTATGCTGCTCACTTGAGTGAGCAACGTAATAATTGCAAGGCAGCTCCCTGAGTCTAAGACACCAATGCCTTTCAAGTCACTAAACCAAAACAGCTAATCACATGCAGGGGCAGTAAACTCAGTGTGTGATCAAATCAACATAAGATAACTTACTAAGCAAGAAAACAATTCAATTTCTTGACCTAGCAAAGCAGTTATACGTTTACCATCAATAGTTCGGGCTCACCTTACAATATATCTTTATTATTTTTCCAAACATTGTAGAAAAAGCACAATTTAAATTCCCATTCAAAGTGTGAAAACAAGTAAATGTGCTGGTATTTCTGGTCAATGGAGGGATTACAAGATAGCAGCTGCTAAAACCTCCCAATGCTCCAAAGTTGGGAACCTAGCTCCATCTTCAAAGAGAAAAAGAATCCCAACCACACAGCAGTCCTGCAAAGTCACAACATAATGTGAAGTGTGATTTAACCTAAGAAAAGTACAGATCAAAAGAAACATCACTGTGAGCTCAATTATGCTGCAGCCATTCCACGATCCAGTCAGATTCCACTGGCTTACAACTTTCTCGTTTCAGTTTAAGCAACGCGGTCTCTTAATGTTAATACCTTTTCTCTTCCTTGTCCCAGCTGCTGGTAAACATGTGAGAAAGATGCTCCTCCAGGAGCACAGAAAAGGCAAGGCAGACTTCCCAGTCACGAGAAGTCGGGCAGCTCACAGCCTTGCCCCCAGAAGCAAAGACAATGTAACAGAGGCCCCTCCTGGACACATTCTGTTCCTAGGCATGCCCGGGGTAGGCTGTCAAGAAGCGAAGGTCAGCACCCTGCTCTGGACACTCCATTCACTTCTCAGAAGCACCAGCTACCGAGGAGGAGACAGAAAGCCTCTCCCGCCCTGAGGGGTTGACCACACCTCCCGGGGAGCTCAAATGTGCCTGAGACTCCAAAAATGGGAGCCATCACTGAGCTGTCCTCTGCTGGGCCCTAAACCTCCATCTGTCTTGGAAGTCTGTCTTCCCCAGATTCATCAGCTAGGCTCCGGCCAGTTCGGGTGAAGGACGTGGCTGCAGTGTGTGGTCGCGGAGCCGGTCAGCTGGGAAGGCCACCTGAAGCCAGGGCTGGGGCCCAGCCCCAACTAGGAAAGCCCACTGCAACCCAGAGCGCCTCCCAGCCTCAGGCCCCGCTGCCCGCCCTTGCGCGGGCAGCAGAGAGGGTGGGGGGCATCAAGCTCCACCCCACGGGGCCCAGGGCAACTCCAGGGCACCGCAGCACCCACCTCCCACCCGGCGGGGCAAAACTACTACCCCCAGCGACACTGTGCCTCAGCATTTCCACCAGCATACATTTAGGTCGAAACACGCTGTTTATGTAGTCCAAAATAGTCAGATATTGGCAATTTTGTATGGTTTCAACCCAAGAGCTACAAAGAGTATGGGGGAAATATGCCGCCACACAAGCCCTCTCCTGATCAACTGTGCAAACTCTTAAGTTTTTATAGAGTAAAAGCATTCTCCCCACTACATTCAATAACTATTTACTAGGGGTCAACTACATTTCCTCAATTCTAACTCACGTCTACATTTCTACCCCTATCGGCACCATATTTTAAATTTTCCCTCTCCCTTTGACAAGACTTTGCAGTGAGAGTAGTAAACACACATAACCATATTAACTCCTACTTTAACCTCCAAATTGAGATTATATTCTCTTCCCACTCTGGGAAGGCCAATTTAAACGGCCTCATTAAACAGAGCAGCTTGTTTTGCATTTGAACAAGCATTACCCTTGCCCCAATAAAGTCCTGGGTCTCAGATGCGCAGTGTGTCAGCTAGTGCATTCAGAGGTTTAACCTGTAATGACATCCTGCTTAGGGCAGCCTTTAAACACAGCACAAGCTGGTGTGGGGAGTAAACCCAGTGCAGAAAATTGCAGATGACCCACTTTCAGTATCAAATCTTAACTCTAATCACTTCCCCATCCTATTAATAGTTTCTTCAATCACCTCAACCTCATCTTAGTATCAGGCTACACAAAATATCATTAGGAACAGAAATATAATTGAAATTAGTCTGTCCATTGACAAATATAAACTACTATCACCTACGTTTTTATTTTCTAACACACAGTCATCCTAGATAGGTCTCCGGTTTCTAGCACAGGAGACTTCAAATATTTTAGGCAGAGAAACTCTTTCCAAACAGAATTAAGACAGAATCCAAATGCATAAAACAAGTAAAGGGGATAACTGATTCCTCAAGCAAAAAAGAAAATTTCATTTTTCTCCAAACTTCCAAAGGACCTGCAGACAGCCTTGTAGCACCGTCTGAAAACTATTAACCTATGGACAAACCTTTAAACTTACCAAGTGAGTCAGGACAGTAAAAGTGGAAGTGTTCTGGGGTCATCTACACTTGGATTAAAACCCAGTCTTCACCACCTGCTCAGCTTTAAAACTGGGACAATATTTCCAGCCTCCCATGGCTTTTGTCTGGATTAAAGGAGACAGATAATTTATGTATACCATGGGTGGTACATATGCCAAAATATGTAAGTATTCACCTGAGACCTCTGAAAGTTTCTTGCTCTGCCTGAGGTCATCATCTAGTTAGAGAGCTAGAGCTTGTGGGTTCCAGATATACACTTCAAAAGATGCCTTTAGCTTGTAAAGATGACCAAACATGCCCGCCAAAGATCAACTGCCATTTAACTAATTTTTAGCATAATAAACCTTAACAGAATTTCTAGACTAGACAGAATAGTTAAAAATCTCACAAAAACTACATTACACTAAGATAAGCCCACATATCCCAAAGTTAGCAAAAATTCAAATTTTAGCACGAGTGCACTATTATCTACACTTTCTAAAGCCTACATCTCAAGCCCAGTTTGGTATAAGGTTTAAAGAGATTTTAATCTAAATCAAAACACTTTTAGAATCAGCCTTTAATGTTGTCTTAGTAATTTCAGAGCATTTAACCACTGCTTTGCCACATATGTTAATAACATACTTACAGCAGTAGTATTCTCAATTTCATGTGAGAACATTTGTTTCCTTTTATAAATGACTGATGAAGAATTTCTCTGATTAATCATAAGCTCATGCCCGGCTACTCTAATTAATAAACAATGTTGTGCTTACCATTTTCTTGTAGTTTACAAATGCTACTACAGCAGGCAAATAATGACCCCTCAAAGACATCCACATCCTAACGCCACTGAACCTGTGAAAATGTTAGTTACGGCAGCAACAGGAAGTTAACACAGTTAAGTACAAAAGTTTAAACTGGAGAAAGTGAAAAGGATGGCAATGTACTGTAAAGCAAGTTACAGAAAGAACATACCCGGGAGGTATTTGGGGCGGGGGGGGGGGGGGGGGGTGTGATGCATGAGAAATCAGAAAGACTGCCTCCTGCAAAATGACCAATGAGTGAGTTATCTGAGTAGTAGGATACTGGTGATTTTTAGCTATATTTCCTTCAAAGGGAACAATAAAGAATGTGCTTTGTAGAGATTAGTCTGATTGAGAATTGTGAAAACAATTAGTCAAAATAAGAAGATTCCCATTCTTAATTTAGTAAAAAAAGATAGGATGCAAATACCACTACCCCTCTTACTTGTCCAAAAATTATTCCTAGAAATGACATAATATTTATTGTAAAATAAAAGTAGAGGTTCAGATTAGGAATTTGCTCTCTATTACGAAGAATCGATGGGTTAAGTAAAACTTCTCCATTCAACATTTCAAGGCTTTCCTCCTTTCCTCAACTCCTTTTTGCAAAAAAAGGAACCTTCTAAATTTGACATTGTGATGGGTATTATGCAGAAAATGTTTGTTAAATTAGTGTTAAAAGTCGCTTCTATTTTAAGATTTACTTCTCACAAACTGACAAAAATTTAAGGCAAGTCTCCTTAAAAATTCAACAGCTTAAAATGCCAGAAGTTAAAAATCAAACTTCATTATAAAACAATGCTAAGAAGAAAAATTAAACAACCTATTTTTTAGTTTCCAGAACTGCAGCGAAGTAATGAGAAAATTTTTCAAATTGTATATATTTTCCAAAAAGCTTTATTTTCCTGAAGATAATTCTGAAAGTTTTGTAGCTATAGAAGAAGAGTTATGTGTCTGCTAAGACTGATAATCTTAAGTGAAGAAAGCCCAGGACACAGGACCTGAAAGAAAGCTGCCGTAAAAACAGAAGTCTGAACAAAGGTGACGACACAGTAAAGGGAGAGGAAAATGCAAACCCTAACTCAAATGTGAAAAGCAAAGTACCACTGTATTTTAAGGCTTCCATCCCTGGTTACAAACAGCATATACTTATAATCAGAACCTATTAGGCACTAGGCTAGATATTGAGATATGATGATAGAGGAAACACAAAGTAGGAGTGAGATGCTTGTGAGATGTCTAATCAAAAAAGCAGTGGATACACAAAAGAGTTAAGACCAGAGATGAGGAGCTGTTAACACACAGATGCTATGTGAAGTCACAGAGAAGAGGAGCTTGCCTAAAATAAAAGAAATCCCAACATTAAGATTTAAGAGCTCATTAAAGCAAAAGGTAGTGGGCCACAGACTGCAACAGCTCTCAAACTTTATTGTGCTTCCTTATCATCTCGGGATCTTGTTAAAATGCAGATTCTGATGTAGAATGAGAATGACTCTAAAGCTAGGCCTGAGATTCTGCATTTTTTAACCAGCTCCCAGGTGTGGCCAATGCTGTTGGCTGAGGCCCACAGGAGTTGCAAAAGCCTAAAGAACTGAGAAGGAAAGCAATGGTGAGAGAAAACCAGGAGAGGGCAGTATCTCAGAAGTCAAGAGAAGATAGGGATTTAAGAAGATATATAAAAACTCATGTGCATGTAAAAGAATGAAAATTGACCATTCTTTTTCACCATTCACCAAAATAAACTCAAAATGGATCAAAGACCTAAAGCTGAGACCTGAAACCATAGGGTTTCTAGAAGAAAATGCAGGCAGTACACTCTTTGACATCAGTATTAAAAGGATCTTTTCGGACACCATGTCTTCTCAGACAAGGGAAACAACAGAAAGAATAAACAAACGGGACTTCATCAGACTAAAGAGCTTCTTCAAGGCAAAGGAAAACAGGATTGAAACGAAAAAACAACCCACTAACTGAGAAAAAATATTTGCAAGTCATACATCCGACAAAGGCTTAATATCCATAATATATAAAGAACTCACACAACTCAACAACAAAAAAATCAAACAACCCGATCAAAAAATGGGCAGGAGACATGAACAGACATTTCTCCAAAGAAGATATACGGATGGCCAACAGGCACATGAAAAGATGTTCATCATCACTGATCATCAGGGAAATGCAAATCAAAACTACACTAAGATATCACTTTACACCCATTAGAATGACAAAAATAACTAAAACAAATAGTAACAAATGTTGGAGAGGTTGTGGAGAAAAAGGAACCCTCATACACTGCTGGTGGGAATGCAAACTGGTGCAGCTACTATGGAAAACAGCATAGAGATTCCTCAAAAAATTAAAAATAGAACTACCATACGATCCAGCTATCCCACTACTGGGTATTTATCCAAAGAGCTTGAAGTCAGCAATTCCAAAAGTCCCATGCACCCCAATGTTCATTGCAGCATTATTTACAATAGTCAAGACGTGGAAGCAACCTAAGTGCCCATCAACAGATGATCGGATAAAGAAGATGTGGTGTATATGTGTGTGTGTGTGTGTGTGTATACACACACACACACACACACACACACACACACACACACAATGGAATACTACTCAGCCGTAAAAAAGAACAAAATCGTCCCATTTGCAACAACATGGATGGACCTTGAGGGAATTATGTTAAGTGAAATAAGCCAGATAGAGAAGGACAATCTCTGTATGACTCCACTCATATGAAGAATTTAAACATGGACAAAGAGAACAGATTAGTGGCTACCAGGGGAAAGGTGGGGTGGGGGGTGGGCAGAAAGGGTGAAGGGGTGTACCTACAACACGACTGACAGACAATAATGTACAAGTGAAATTTCACAAGATTGTAACCTATTGTTAACTCAAAAAAAAACTCATATGCAACAATATTAGAATACATTATGCTTTATTATATTCTTATAAGAAACTTGTATTATTTCTATAATCTGGGGAACAAAATTAAAAAAGGCAACCAGCAGACATGCTTAAACATGCAAGAACTCAAGGAATATAGTACCCATGAACCCTTAAGAAAATTACTTGATTAAAAAAAAATCAGGTGATGAGTCAATAATTAATTTAGAAATAGTGATCCTGTTGTAAAAGGATTAAAGTTAGTCAAAAATGACGCCATTTAAATACAGAACTAAGACTGAAACTATAAGGCATTACAATTACAAATTAGAATCTAAGTATTATAAACCTCGGCAGGGTGTAAATAATTACATTAAAAAAATATGGTAAGGAAATAGCAAAAATAATAACACAAGTCAACCATGTGGCATCTGCTGAGAGATCAAGTAAAGATTAGGCCTAAAAGGTGTTCATGGATTGGCAATATAGAAGTTCCTGGTGACCTGTGCAAAAGCAACCTTGGAGATGCGGCTGGTGTGGAAGTCAGACTAAAGAAAGCAGAACAGGATGCTCTGTTAACTTGAGAAGTAGGACTGTGGAGAGAAGAGGCAAGTTAGATGGTAGCTGGAAGGCCTCTGCGAGTTTTTTACTTGGTTCCTTTTTTCATTTATATTTTAAACGGGAAAGACCTGAATACAGTGAAAGCTGACAGAGTCCAGAAAAGAGGGTAATCCCAAGAAATGGAGCAATGTGATAAAATAAAAGTCCTTGGTAAGATGAGGGGGGATTCAAAACTCAAGACAGAGTGACTAGACTTTGTCAGAAGAGATACTTCTCCATGGTAAGAACAGAGAGGACATAAGCTGCCTCACTCAGGGTGTAAGAGGTGCAGAAGGGTTCTGAGAGTTTCCATGTTCTCTGCAAAGCAGGCAGTTATCCGTTTTTGGGTTTTTTTTGGCGGGGGGCAGGGTTTGAGGGGATAAGGAGGAAATGATGTCAGAGATTTAAAGGGACCCCTCTCCTAAGCATCCGGCCACGGCAGAGTGTTTTTTATGAACTGGCTAGGTCTTGTTGGTAGGACAATGAAGACAGTCAAATATATGTGGGTAAATCATAATCTTGGCTCCCAAAAAATCCCTACTGCTTTTCTTAAACCAAAGGAGAAATAATTTGCCATTAATCTAATATGTTCTCCAAACTTTAGGATTAGTAACCTAAAACTAACTAGAATGGCTAACCTTAACAGTGAATACGAAGCACTGGTGAAGACGTGGAGCACTGAAACTCTCATACTTTGCTGATGGGAAAGAAAAATAGTACAAGTACGTCTTCATAACTGCAGAAAGTTCTATTGGACAGCACGGTTCTCTATCCTAATTCTATTTTACTACCTGTTATCCTTATATTTTTATTTCACATTGAATCTACAACTTTTTATTAACATCAAAAATGAAAGTATTAACATCTCCCCAAACAAGGCAAGCGTATTAACACGCTGACAGTAAAACGTTCCCTTTCCCACCTGCCAGGATAAAGATTGTACTAAACTTCAAAACTCTGTCAAAACAATCCTTCAAACCCAATTGCAACCATTCTGGTTTCACTTCTCACAACTATATCACAAGGCAAATACCCATCTCTTTCTCCCCTTGAATCCTTAATTATGATTCATTTTTTGGTATGGGCAGAGTACCTCAAGAAAGTTTTTAGAAACAGCATATAAGTGATTAAGTCCCAATCGTAGCAGTCTGAAGCTTTGGCACAGACTGCACAAGCTCAGAATTCTAGTCAGACCCCTTTCCCCTAAGAACTACGCAAATTCTGCTCACTGTTTTCTGACATGTAATGGTGCAGATGAAAAACCTAATGCCATTTTATTCTTACTCCTTTACAGGTAACCTTTCCCCCCGATAGATGGCTTGTTGGACTCTTTTCTTTATCTCTGGAAGAAATCTTCACCAGAACATCTAGGTGTATGCCATTAGCACTTGCCAAACACTAGGTGAGTCTTTTTAATACGAAGGCTCAAGTCTTTTACCTTTGTGGATTTCTCTTGTAAATGTTCTTTGATTTTTTGCATCTGCACAGTTCTTTTCTTCACAGAATTCTAATACTGACTCTCCTGGATCTATCTTCTGGTCACTTATATTTTATTCTCATAATTCCAATCTTTGTTTTGCACTGCATTCCAAGAGAACTCACCAAGTTCTAATTCATGAATTTGGTTTCGCTAAAATTACCTTATGTCTTGATATGCTAAAGCACTTTTTAGTCAGGTAGATACCCTCAATGTCCAACAAGGGAAGAGAGGTTTTGATGGCAGGAGTAGCTGCTTCCCTTTCCTTTCTCTGAAGTTGGAATGACCACATAAATTTGGATTGCATTGCCCTTGTACTTCCTTAACCCTTCTATTTAAGTTCTCCTGCGTAATTGTCATGTCTCTCATTGGAGCTTGACTGTTGTTGGTTTTGCTCTTGCTGCTATAGTCTCAATGAGTTCCAGGGTCAGTAAGCTAAACACCGAGACAAAGCAGACTTTCCTCCACTCTCATTAAAACAGCTGCCCCAAACATTTATTAAGCACCTAGAATGTACCAGGTAATGTCCTCAGTGGTTTACACATACTGTAATTTAACCACCTGCATGCGCTTCCAAGATAGGCATTTATTCCCCATCTTATAGATAAGAAAATAGATTTCACAATAAATGTTTCAGATCACAGAACTAGTAAAAAACAAAACGAAGAGATCTTAACCAACCCTCTCATGATTTCAGAAGAGAAAAATGATACAGAGAAGTAACTTGCTAAATGTCATATAACTTAGATCAGTGTGCTAATCTGGGCTGTATGCTACTATTTCCCAGATCCTTTTAAAGCAGATATGCTTTGAATACTTTCTATTCAACTTGAAAAATTAATCCTTTCTGAATTTGAGTCTATCAAGATTGAAAATAACAATGAAAATTTAATTAAACTATACTTTGTCTTCCCTCCTAATACAAGAGAGATCCCTAATGTAGCCAGGGGAGATCAAAAAAGAAGGGAGATGATACCTCGTTAAGTACTGACCGAGTAAAAGTGAACTAAAGTCAGCTCCTTACAGAGGCCTTTGCTGATCACTTTTTAAAGGCCAGACCACCCTTTCTTACTGTTCATGTAATCTCTTACCATTTGAGGTTCTCTTGCTGACTATCTACTTACTATTTTTTCTGCTTCTCCCTCCTCAGTACAAGATCAGCTTTTCAGTAACAGCAGTTCTTAAACTTTTTTGGTATCAGGAACCCTTTACACCAAAGGTTGGCAAACTACAGCTGCAAGCCAGTTGCCTCTTTTTGTAAATAGTTTTATTGGAACATAGTTATGCTCGTTCATTTACATATTGCCTATGACTGCTTTCAAGGGCAGAGTTGAATAGCTGACCCTATGATTCCTAAGTCATTTAAACCTATCTGGCTGTTTAAGAAAAAGTTTGCCTTCACTCTTTATACTTTAAAAAAATGAGTGAGGACCCCAAAAGAGCTTTTTTTATGTAGTTTATATGTCTTGATATCTGCTCTATTAGAAATTCAAGCCAAGAAATTTTTTTAAATATTTATTCTAAAATTACCATTACTTTTACATAACATGTAAAAATCCATGACATGTTAAATGTTTACGAAAAATAACTATTTTCCATAATAAAGAGAAGAGTGTCTATGTTGTATATTTTTACAAATCTCTTTAATGTCTGATGCAATAAAATACAGTTGGGTATTAATTATCTGCTTCTGCATTTAATCTGTTAAGAAACCACATATCATGTAGCCTCTGGAAAACTCCACTGTACTCTCACGTCTCCTTATTGTGAAATAAAGTTTTGACCTTCAAAGGGTCTTGAGAACTCCCA